AAGAAGAAGAAATGATGGAGTCGGGAAACGACGTCGCTTTCACGTGGAAACATGCATTTCACGTGGAACTGGCTAGGGCCGCCGGGAACGACGGCGGAGGAGGGAGATCGTACGGCGGTGGGGAGTCGGAAGAATTGAAATGAATGGATGGAAGTGCTCTGGGGGAAAGCTGGGTGTGGAGTGAAGTGCTTTGGGTTTGGCGCCATTATTTTCTGGTTAGTGTGTGGCAGAGGCCCACGGTGGGACCACCCATCCATACACGGACACCTCATCTTGGAGGACAATTTAATTTATCGAAATGACCTTTTTGACATTTTATTTTTATTTATTCTTACTGAATTTGGTCATAAGGTTCTCCTTCTCGTAGGTTTTTCTAACAGCCTTGAATGTAACCATGGTTTGAGATTTAAAATGTGATGAATATTTCGAAAAAAATAAATAAGTATGAAATTTTCATTAATTTTTTATATAGTTTGTGTCCAGTTTTTATATGATTTAATCTACCTTATCATTTTACAAATTTTAATTTAATTTTTATAGTTTCAGTTTAATTTTAATTTGAATTCTATGATTTTACTTGTGATAAGTAAATTATAAATTGCGTGGCATATACACTGTAGACGGCTCTCTGACCTTTGTAGCTTACGTAACTCCTATTTATAGGCAAGACATTCTTAAACCCTAAGTAAAAAAAATGCATTTCTACACCCTTCCTAAACCTTACCTAGAAAATATTTCTCTTGTAAATATTTATAGGATATTTTTAGAACATTATTTATTTCTAATCTTCGAGATAAATCTAATTTTGTTTTAACATTTTTTAAGAGCAATGAAAAATGTGGTTGATGAGATTTAATTCGCATGGAGAATATATAACTCTCACGAATTTACTTTTAATTTCACATAATAATTCATGCCATAATACTCTCATTTTTTCACAAAAGATTTCATGCTAAATATACTTTTATTGGTGCGCACTATTTGTAAACCTAGTAATATTTCAAGCCACCAAATTTGTAATTTAACCTTAACTTCTTAACTTCAAAATTTTATGAGAGTAATAATAAGTTTTGGGGTCTAAGATCAAGAATGATTGAGTTTAAACTTGTTTGCCAACTGACATATATCATCTACATTGCTCAACTAAAAAGAAAAAAAAAATTTTAAACTGTTTTTTTTTTCTTTTATATTTCACGTGTACAGATTCTATAAACATGTTTCACGATTTTTATTTTTTTTTTGGTTGGTTTTTTAACGGGACACGTTGCACGATTGTAGTGGTTGATAGGGAAGTATCTGGAAATTGTGGAATCAATGCAACAACAAAGACACCTATAAAGTTTGTTTTGATATTGGAGCATAGCACGGCAGGACAAGTTGAATCTATGGCCAATATTTCATCTTTGTCTCCGCCTAATTATTTAGGGTATTAAATTTCATCAATATTTTTATTTGTAAAAAAGTTGACAAAATAATATCTCTCTAACATAGATATAACAATGATTTTTTACTTATTTAAAAAAATTGAAATGTTTATCATTATATTTTTCACCGATATTTTCATCAAGACCTCAACCATTTCTTACTCAGTTATCTAATATTACAGAGTTGACGTCGACAATTCTTGCTCATTTTTTAATATTAGAGAGTTAAAAAGCAGGGCCCAAGAATCCTCCAAATGTTGTGGAGAATTCTATATGAATAATATAGACATAGAATAAAGATAATCATCCAATATATATAGTGTATTTGCATGTAAAAAACAGTTTAAATTATTTTGCGTTACTTTCCTCAAAAGAATATATACATATATACCCAGGGGAGGCAGAGAAAAAAAAAAAACAAAGTCATATACAACCAAAAGAAGGGCAAATTTCAGAAATGGTGTAATTTTAAAATAAATAAAAAATAATGAAACTTTCAAGGTAATAATATCAAATAAGAAACTATTTAAACTAGGGCATGTATTTAAAATACATATCAAACCTACCAGAAAAAAGGAATTAACAGCAGAAAGAAAAAAGGTATTCTATATTAGAGCATGAATTAGCTTACTACAAAGGAAATTAAATGCTAAATGAGATTTAAAAATATATATATATATATTGAACCACTGAGTAATGTGGGTAGCCACGAGACAATAACCCAGAAAATATAAGAATTTCACTCGACCATGAACGAGTACTTACCAAGCACAATATGAAAAACTATGTCCATAATGGTATTTCTCAAGCACAATTTCGCAAACCACCTACTTTAGTTACTTTTCAAAATACCCAATTCTTCTTCTTTTGTCTTTTTTAATGCATAAAAAAGAATGAAGAAAGAAATCAGGCATAGGAGACCCTGAACATTTTGATTTATCATAGAAGCAAAGGAAGCACAAGTTCCTTCCAATTATAACTAAAGTTACAATTTCAAGAGCATTTTTGTTCGTAGAAATGCCAACAGAACATCCAGAAAACCACACGCAGAACGTTTATTAATCTAACTGCACCATTTATTAACATAACTCTGAATCCTAAGCAGAAACTTTGGCAACTGCTCCTGCTTCGGCCAGCATAGGAACCAGCCCCCCTTTCTTATGAAGTGCTACTGTTGCTGCGAAGCAACCAAAAGAGATTCTTGGTAAAGGAAACCAAAAAATATATACATATAATTATAGTTAAATCACCCCTAAATCTAAAAGCTTAAACTAACAAGGTTATGATGTTTTTAATCTTTTATATGTGTGTGTGTGTGTGTTCATTCTTAACCCTTCCGCTACCGTGTGTGCGTTTGAATAACGTGACAAATGACAGAGTTCAATTTAAGACTCTATTTGGATGGTAAGCTAAATGACCACTAATTTCAAAAGCTTAAACTAATACATTAGAATATATTCGTTCTTCGATATATATTATTAACATTTAATACTCTCGGACATGGAAACAGAGAGTGACAAGGCAAAAATGTGCAATAACCGTTGTTCAAGTTGAGAGGGTAGTAAACAATTACCATCACAGCCACCAATGTGCTTCCCACCAATGAAGACATTGGGTACAGTCCGTTGTCCAGTCCACTGAGCAAGTGCAGCTTGTATTTCGCTTCCATCACCTTCAAATTCAGTTTAACCAATCGTTAAATTGCACACTATGAATCCTCTAGAAAGCTTCTAAAGCAAATAAAATTGATGATCGTCTCAGAATTGCACTCATCCTGCTCACTGCTCAGGCTGAAAGGGTCGGAAACTCAAGGAAATGAGATCCAATAACCCAATCTTACATTACAAGATGAGTCACATTTAAGAAATCCAAATGATTAGGACGGTCCAGTTGAAATTAATCAAATATTTGCGTTTTTTCTGCCAAAAGAAAAAACAACAGACTGTATTTTGCATAGACAGGTTTCAATCAAATGTCCTGTTGAACTGTGCATGTCATCAAACATGTAATGTGTGTCCCTACTTGTCCTACCCTGTCACCGTCCCCGGACTCCTTTCCAGTATCCATCTTTCAAACTAAATCCATTGAACGCTATGTTGTGTCCTAAGCTTTCAGTTCTCCTTTCGGAAGTTTTTCTTATCTTAAACAATTAGAGCTAGAACATGCATCGAAAGATAGGTCTCTCCCTAAACTTACAGTCCATAAACAGCACTCACGACACGAACTAGTGAAATTACAAAATCCGAATCCCTAGAAATGACGGGAAAATAGCACCTGAATCCGAGTACATCAATGAATAAAGAGAATCGGAATGCATAATATAAAACCAATAAAGACTCCATCAATTTCGGCAGCATCAGAACACAGAATACAGAATACAGAAAATACAGCCACAGATTCACCGATAACCAAACAGATGGAAAACAATTCGATGACATGCATCCGAGACGAGGTTACGAGATTGAACGCAAAGAGTAGAAAAAGAAGAAATAGACTACGCACTCTCTCTATCCAATTCGACAGCCTTGAAACTGGCTCCCACTTCAGTTAATAGTTTCTTCACATCGACGCAGAATGGACAGTAACTCTTGCTGTCATTCGAAACAACAACAGCATCGATTTCCGATCAGCAAAACCGATAGAAAGCATATAAATTCGTAAGGAGAAAAACGAAGATCGAGAGAGAGATACCTGAAGACGGCAACGGGATTGGAAGACACAATCTCTTTAGCTTTCTCCAACGCCATATCGATTATCGTTGGATTTGAAATCCCTAACGAAGCTTGCTCTGTAGAAATTTAGGAAATGAGAGGGGAAATGCTCAGAGTGAGAATAAATAAAGTTACACCCGTCGATCGCGTAAGAATCTCGTAGTCGGTGACGTCCAACCGTCAGATAAAAACAAAATTCAGAAAATAATAATGTACCGACAAATTAATTTATATCCCTAAGAACCAAAATTCTAATATTTCATTTGCTATATAAAAAAAACAAAAAAATTCTAATATTTCATTACATTTAAAGAAGTATTTACGTGTGCGACAATTATGCATTAATCGTTTTCATACGGAACCTTATGAGGTAAATTATTTCACTTCAAAGTTTTAAGGGTTTTGAGTGATGCGATTATTAGTTTAGTGAATAAATTGATTTTTTTTCAAACAAATTTTAGTCTCAATTTCTATTATAAACTTTTTAATTTCGTTTTTGAGATGTTTTTTATTTGGTCCATCTTGGGCTATGCATCTCAGGTTAAATTACAATTTTAATCTCTAAATTTTTAGGGCTGTGTTGATAGATGTTAATTTTTTATTTAATAGGTTTTTAAACTTTCAATTTTGTATATGATCACTAAACTAATCGGTCAACTATTAGACATTTTTTAAAATTAACGAATCAGTCAACTATTAGACATTTTTAAAATTGAAAATTCAAGTACCTATTAAAACAAAGTTCAAAGTCCTATTAATAAGACTATTTAAATTTTGTAGATATGTTAGACACGATAGTTGTAATTTAACCAATTGAGTTATGTTCAAATTGATAACCAATTGAGTTATGTTCAGATTGGTAACCTTCACAATGTAATCTAAATGTAATTAATAATATTGAACTATGTTCAGATTGGTAATCTTCGCAATGTAATCTAAATGTAATTAATAATATTGAACTGTAATATGAAAAAACAAGGGCATTATTGGAATCCATGTAAAACAAATAATGCAGTCATGACCCATGACATCTAGATTTTATATAAAAAAACAAAGCTGGTGAGGAAAATCCAATTGTTTAGTTTAATTTGAAGTATGAGAGCATAGTTTGATTTGTCAAAATGAATTTCTAATCGAGTGTGCTGGTCTTCTTATTTTATTTGTCAAAATAATAGATTTTCAAAAATGGGAAACAATACAATTAATTAACCAATTGTCAAGTGTCATTTACTTATAAAAAATTGTGTAGGTTTGAATTTTGAGGCTTACATTTATAAATAAAGTAAATATAATAATGAATACTCAGTACATATACATGTCACAATCGATGCAACTCTAAACTGGCGAGCCTTATTTTATTTCTCGGTTTCTCAGTTTTTTTAGGAGGAAAGGAAAAAGTAAACAAACAGGACGAGTAAGCACTAGTATGAATCAACAATGCGAGAAATAACATAGGGTCATCTTCAAACCAAACATTGTCAATCTGCTACGACAAGGCGAGTTGGGCAAGTTGGTGGGCAGCACCGTTGCCCTCCCCAAAAGTGAAGCCAAAACTAACGGCAGACGAATGAGCACAGCACGGGCGAAGGTCAGAAAGAAAAACACCCACCTCAGAAACATCATCAGAATCCTGGGTCAGCAACGAGAAAGAGAGTGAAGAGTTTCTCACCTTGGAAATCAAAAATCGAATCTCCATCTTTTATAATAACAAGTCATTCAGTTAACCGCTACAGGAGGTTGCTGGAGTTTTGCAGCCAGATTCTGTGCCACGGCGTCGATAAATTCCTCCGTGTTCAAGTAAAACTCCCTTGATACCCTGCAAGAAGCTTACGCGTCTGAATAATTCTAGACTTGGAATATCAGAGAAGTGTATGAGATAAAATGTTTGAAACCTTACTTGGATCCGTGTATCAGTAAGGCAAGATCCTTTGTCATTTTCCCGGATTCCACTGTCTCAATGCACGAAGCCTCCAACTTCTGAACAAATTCCAACAGCCTCTCGTTGTGATCTAATTTCGCCCTGAAGACATTTCATTGCAGCTAAAAATTGTCAGTTCCTAGGTAATTCACTACTTAGCAAAGCCCCACTATGAATATGCATCAAATTATAAAGTTGCAGTAGTAGTTCAGTGAAACGATGGTTTTGGTAACCTTTAATGAAGCTAGAAGTGATTCATATACAAGTGTTCATACACTATTTAGAAGAATTAAGAACCACAAAATGTATGCACTATGCACCATTCTGAATAGCATGCCAACAAATTTTCACACACTTGGGGTCATTACCTATGCTCGAGCCCGCGCGTCCATGCAAAAATAGAAGCAATACTATTTGTACTGGTTTCTTGTCCCTTTTGATATAATCGGTAGTGCCGCGTTACAGTGCCATGAGCTGCCTCAGCTTCCAACGTCTTCCCATCAGATGACAACTGCAATAAATCTCAATTTTTGAGGCGTTTGTTAAGGAAATGAGTCCATGAGGATAATAAATTCCATATTCTCGACTCGGGTGTTTAATACCCACCAATACAGATGTCATTAGTCCCAAAGATCCAAATCCTGCCAATGGAAAATAACCATTAGAAGACATTAAAGTGAGTAGTGGCTTTTTTTGATAATTATATTATTAGTAATCATTGTCTATATATATCTATCGTTAAATTCATTATTGCAATCAAAGTAACCAAAGGGTATCCCAATTCATAGATTCTAGTGAAAAACACAACTGTTTCCCACAGGTGTTATGGACATAAAAATTCTCAAATGGTATGGATGTATATTTGACTTTAAATGGGATCCAGACAGAAAAGCTGATAGCATTACCCTGTGCTAGTAAATCACTCTGAACGTCCCCATCATAATTTTTGCAAGCCCAAACGTATCCACCTTCACTTTTCACAGCATAGGCTACCATATCATCAATAAGCCGATGTTCATACCTAAATGCCAAACCAAAATATATTCAGACATAAGCAATAGATTACGCACAACGACAAAGATCCATGTGAGTTAAATGTAATAAACCATATCGATTTTCCTTCAAACTTCTGCTTCCACTTCTCCTCATACACTTTCTGAAATATATCTTTAAACCTGCGGGCAAGTATTAAAAGAACTATCACTTCGGCAATTTCTAGGAAACTGACAAGAAGATATCAACAGTACAAGCAATTAGGTATAGGGGACCAAGCAAAGATCACCTGCCATCATATTTCTTGAGAATCGTATTTTTAGTGCTCAAATATAGAGGCCACTTCTTCTCAAAAGCCAGTGACATTGACGACTCTGCAAATGCTTGAATAGACTACCAATTGCATAGGAACGTATTAAAAGGGGAATTTATGTGATATAAAAAAGGAACAGGGTTGAAGAAATAAATAAAAGACCAACCTCGTCAACATTATACATTGTAAGTGCTATGCCTGGTCCTTTGAAGTCATAAACATCGAGCTCTGTTGGTGTCTCCCCATTTTCTGGAACTGAATAGAAAGAAACGAATAAGAGTAGTCAAATAATAAAAAGTCAGGAGGAAAAAAAAACAAAAAGGTTCTCCCAGAGCAACACATGAGGATGAATGAAGAAAAGAAAATCATCTCACCATACACCATTTTAAGCTTTCCAGGCCCCGGGATGATTGTATCTGTGGCACGGTATTGATCACCAAAAGCATGCCTGCCGATACATATGGGCTTCTTCCAACCAGGAACAATTCTTGGGATATTTTGGCATAAGATAGGTTCTCGGAAAACAGTACCTACACAAAAAGTTATGTTATATTGAAGCTCATACTCCTTGTATACGACATTAAAAATAAATTAACATGAAAGGGAAAACCAAAAATGGGCTACATAAGATATCCACACAACACCAATAGAGCTCAGAAAGGTCTCCAATTGGTATAACCAACAAAGGAATTGTAAATTCCCAGAATCCTAAGAAAGGGTACCCCAACTAGAAGCCAACCATTTGGCTAAGTCCGAAACATCTTCCCACCGTCTTAGTTTTACTGCCAAAATATGAAGGTTCACTCCACCAAAATTTCCCAAGAAAACAACCTTAAAAACATTAGACTATAAGACTTACCTCTCTTTTATTTATTTATTTATTTTTTTTTGTTAGGTTGTGTCCAAATACACACATAGCCTCCCTAACACTGTAACAAAAACACCATACTATAATGAAAACACCAAACACTTTTGTCGAACACTTGACTGCAAAGTTATAATGGAAGGAAAGAAGAAAGTCCATTACTTTTTCACACAACACATACCAATAAGGACGAAACCTAGGGAAAAGCCTTTTCTGAATTTTGGGAGGCATGTTAAAGCTCATCTTGCACCAAAGTGCAAATGAAGAACTTGATCTTCTTAAGAGTATTAAGAAGTGAAATGCCCTGAAGAATTTAGGGACCATATCCTAGCATCTAATGGTGGATGCAAGTGGACAAATTGAAGCAAATTGAGGAAGCTAGCAACTTCTCAGCCTCAAAATCCAAGAGACGCCTTCTGTAAAGAGGCAAAATAAAATTTCAACAGACCTCCACATAATGTGTCTTTTAAAGATTACCATCTTTAAGTTTCCAAAAATAACAGAAATTTCCCTGGTAAAATAAGAGACTGTATTTAGCAAAACAAACCATTAAGAATGTTCCTAATCGTCCCATTGGGACTTCTCCACATAGCTTTAAGTCCAAACTCTTTGACTCTGGCCTCATCTGAAAAATGATACAAAGATCAAGGGAGATCAATAAAGCTTATAATTATTGCAAATAATGAAATAAGCGAGGAAAATCTAATTAGTATGCTATATGATTCGCTGCTTGTAAGAAATGAGACTTGCATGGACAAAAATGACGAACCTGGAGTAATTGTAGCACATTTTACAGCAACATTGTACCTGCATTCGCAAGGTCAGAAGGAGGACCAAAAAGACTACTTTGAGTTAGGTAAAATAACTCATGTAACGTGCTATGATTGAGCAGAAGTTCAGTTATATTTGCTTTAGTAAATCTGACATAAACACCAAGTTAAAGAGTATGTCAATCGAGCAGAAACTGGTATCCATATACCCCAATGCAATCAATTACTTGCTATTTCGTTTAATTCCTTATCTCAGCTCTCCACCCATATATACATTATTTATAGTTTGAACAGCTTCCTTCCACTTTGAAAGGCCACGCCATTAACACACAAGGGAATAGATAATGTTGAATCCAAAATAAGGAAACAGTTACAATTCACAAATATAAAATAGTTGGAATTCTACCAGCAGAACTTACTTGAGAGTGGCTTCTGCACTCTCCGTGGTAACTCTGTCATCAGTAGCGTCTCGATTCAATATACCCAAGTCAAAATACTTTATATCCAAATCCAGGTACGGGAAAATAAGCTACAACGTTATGAAAAGAAAATCGACATTAGAACAAATCATCTCTCTCTCCAAAAGATTCAAACACAATCAAAGTTCGTGTAGAAGTCAAGAAAAACATACTTTCTCTTTTATCATTGCCCATATGATCCTCGTCATTTCATCACCTAAATGTAAAAAAGAAAAACATGAAAATCGGTTAAGCTGTAACAAGCATCCAAGGGCAAAATACAAGTTTACAAGACAAGAATCTGATGAATTCGATAATCATAACTAATCAACTCAAGCTCAAATTGAAGTGATTGAAGCGGAAGGAAACCGAGTTCGAAAGTTCAAATTCAGTATCAACATTACTCAGTTTTTAAACTGATTCAGAGCCAAAGGAACTACAGCCAGAAACACGATTCCATAACCATACTCCATCATTCACTTGATAAGAACAGATTGACAAGCCAACAGGCTGGTGTCTTACCGTCCATTTCGACAATAGGATTCAAGACGCGAACTCGATCAAAACCAGAAGAAGATGCGTAGCATCGAAGCGAAACAGCAGGGGAGCGAATCGGACAGGAGAGCTGATTCCGGAGAAGACGTCCATTGAAGAGACTAGAAGAGGTGGGGGAGAAAGGTAGAGAAGGGTTTTTGGGAGCAACGGGCGAAGAAAACAGTGTGGCGCTTGGCATGGCGCTTCGTAAGAGTCTGGCTCTCATCTCATCGCTGAGATTTGGACACTGCGGAGGAGAATTTATAGGGGTTTTAACAGCAGCTGGAGTTTTCACGGGGGGTTTATGTGTATGCCGTCCACCTACAATTTTTTCCTTTGGAAGCTATCATTCATGCCAACTTTCCAATGCTTCCCTTCGCAAATTCGTACACATCTCAATTATCCAATTCCGGTTTTTTTTTTCCCTTTAGGTTAATCCAATATCAACTTATATATTACTCTTACATTTCTATAAAGAATAGAGATTCCTTTTACCTCAATCGAAAGAGCAGATATCATACTGTTGCTTAGTCAAGCTTATGTCAGGCAGTTTTATTCATTCATTATCATTTTTGAAAAACTTGTATTACATTGTACTGACAGATTTTCTCTCGACAATGTATTAACCACTAATTTTGGTTGTACACAAATTATAAAAAGATTATTTTTAACCTTAAATGTACTATTTTTTTAACTTAAAATAAACAACAAAACACACTAGCAAAAAGTTATATTTTCAAACATTTTAACATTTTTTAAAAGCAATTTTTAATACAATTCTTAGAAGATACACAACACCCGAATATGGCACATAACCGCCCATATATGATATTAGGGAAAAAAATAAAAAATAAAAATCCATATTAGATGAGAAAGGAGTCAAAGGAATGAAAAGACGCTCTTAAATCCAACAAAAGGATCTACTTCCCTGGTCTCCGTGGCAGTTTCTAGGGAGCAGCACTTCTTTTTGCTGTCTACCGGTGGGCTCTGGTGGCTCCAGGTGCTACTGATATTAGGGCTCGCTGGCCGCGGCCGCTTCTTTTCCTTCATCATGGAGATATCAAAAGACAGCATTTGGGCGGATGCCAGTTCCGCATCTGAAAGTGAAAGACTTGAATCTCTCGACGGCTGGTTCAATTTGCCGTATGTACCGGCTGTATTTACACAAAACTGGGATACCACTGGGAAACTGTTGGCTTTTCTTTTTATATGATCAAATATGGTTTCCTCAGTTACAATGATTTTACTTTCTTCCGTCTGAAGATCAAGCTCAAGCTCCCCTGTATTTTTTGGGAATCATTAGAATTTGATCATGATAAAGGAAATACTAAATATTGAAATAGATTGGTAATGTAGTTGTAGTCCTAAATTATAGTCATCCAACTTTTAGTAAACTCTTTCTAGGTACCGTTAGACTGAAAATATATGAATGAGATTCATTCTCTTCACTTACCAAGTAACTCATGATCTAATATACCGCTTTTCACGATGAAGATTAAAGGTAAAATTTAGTAGATGTTTGGGACCCTAATTGAAATTTAAATGTTAAAGGAAAGTAAAATAAAAATTTGACCAAAATCAACTTTCATTTAGACATCAAAATGAAAATTAGATAAAATTTAAACCTTTGTTTTTTTACCAACATGAGATAGTAATTAACACCTATCTCTCGAATCTTACACTCCTATTTGTTGTACTAAAAAAATCGTTTTTTATTTTCTATTTTCAAAAATTAAAATTAGACATCTTACTTTGACCTAATTTTTATTTTGTTATATACTTCTAATAATATTTTCAAAATTTAGGTCAAAAATTTTAAAATAAAGAAATGTAGTTTTTAAAAAATTATTTTTACCTATAAAATTTGACTAAAAATTCAAACTGTCATACCTGAAAACAACAGAAAACCAAGTTAACAAATTTACACAAAATAGATACGTACCTTTATTATCATCCTTTTCATGTGATCCAGAGGTGATGTGGTTTTGTAGGGTCAGATATTGATTCCCTAGTTCCTCTCTGAATCCTGAAAATGAATCCACATTGGCATGCGGGGAAGGTTCATTTCTCTGTTTCTCTTCCAAAGCTTCAACCTGGAGTTCTATCTGCTGCATATTTCTAGTGAGACTGTATGCCTCTGGTGCTGGCAAATAAGCTCTGTTTTTTGATGCGCCCAACACAGGGAAGCTTTTGGCTTTCTCCCGTATGTGGTCAAATACAGTTCGTTCCGTGATGATTTTGCATTCATCTTCGTCGTTCCCAGTTGCAGGCTCGGCTGCGACAGTTTCGAGTTAGAAAGAAATCAAGGGGAGAAATATAATACGAAGCTACTTTACGCACCTTCGCCCAACTCTTCATCTAGGAGGTTGAAACTCGGCCTGGAAATTTTTGAAAGAAAATGTAAAAAATAAACTATTAAATAATCGATGAATTCAAAAGTTTAATCGAATTATATTGTAGGATTCAAGATCTCCAGCTCAAATACCACATTAAATCTCTTATAAATATTCTTAACAAAAGACCAAGGGATGAACAATTTATGGAAAAGGGTACCCAATTTAACTCCTATTGAAAAGTTTAGGAATCTAGGTGAAGATCACTCACATGGAGTCGAGCAACGCGTTCGAGTCGGCAGATCTAGGCAGCTCTTTGGTTGCATCTTGTGGTAGAGGCTCGCTGTCGTCGTCTATGACATATAATTCCTCAGGTGGATGAAAGGAGGACGACGGCATTCTTCCCCATTTGTTTCTCGCGTTTGAATTTCGTTCCATTAGTTGAAGTTTTCGGTGGAGATCAATGCCAACTAAATGAAGAAACGCTCAAAAAATGTATCAAAGGGCGCTAGGAATTTTGTCAATGTAAGTGAATTTGCAGAACTTCCAAAACAGCTAGCATAGATTCTTACTGTATTCATCAAAAATAAGATCAGCTTTAATCGTCAACTTTCCTCGTTGAGGATGTGGGACAAGAACAATTGCACTGTAGGGGCTGCAAAAAGAACAAAACTTTCCTCAACATGGTATGATAACAGAAGAAGCTGTTCGTAGCTCGGTGAAGAATGAATGCCATTCAACCAAGCTTTTTCAGTAGGATTAGGCTTGCGTACCTGGAGAATTCATCCACTCTGCTGCACAAAAAAATCGAGTTAAACTGAAGGCTATATTTGGAACTATGAACTCCAGACGAGATGTTTAAAGCATTATTCTGACCCAAAAAAGTGGTAATTTTTATGAATATCTAAAGCTCGAACCTTTATCTCTTTTCTGGATAAAATCCACGCTCAGTCTTTTGCTAAAGTTATACATTAAAGTGTCAAAAGGAATCACCTTATTTTCTCATGGAAGAGAATCTGGTTATCTTCTTCTGAGCCAACAATCTGCGAGAGAGAAAAGTTCTCTGTCGCAACGGTCTATTCTACGTGAAAAACAGAATTAGATATTTAAGTCAACATACCATATCAGCGTAATGTTGTTTACTTGGTCGGTAAGACTGGGGCAGCCTAGTTAATGTTACGATGAGCTTGGCCTTCCCTTGCCTGGGGCATTCAACTTCCTCAAGCTTTAGGTCCACTCCCGGTGGTAAAGATGATAAAGACTCCTTGATATGATTTCCAAATGGGTATTTTCTACCAGTGACTATCTCTATTTTCCTTGGATCAGCATCAGCAAGTGCCTCAAATGATTTGATTCCCATAGAATGCAACGCCTTGAAAGAACAATTGAAAGGATTCAGAGAATGAAAAAGGCTTTTCATCTAGAACCTAACCGAAATCTTTTAGAAAGCAATTAAAAAAAAGGTTAAATAGAAACCTTCGCAGTCACCATTCCAATGCCGGGTAGTTGTTTGAGCAGAAAGGGACTGTCATCCCAGAGTTTCTGATATAAAGACTTTGATAGAAGCATCGAGTTGAAGGTTCCTTTGTAATTCTTTCTGTATACAAAATACTCTTTCATGCACTTGGCAATTCTGCATCCATTTGAGCAAATAGAATTCATGTCCTGTACAAGGATATTAGTTGTAATTTGACTTCTTTCAAGCACCATATGATTTAAAAGCCACTTGCATTATGAGAAAATGAACCTGACTGAGGGATAAATCATGAATGGAAGGATCACCGGTCAAGCAATCATTTGCTAAAATAAATATCTTTTCTTCTCTTGTCTGTATACGCTTTTTCTTCTTTCCCTTTTCACCAAGAATGTGAAAACGCAGCCTCCCATCTTTATCATTGTTTACATCGTTAAGAAGCTTTTTCTCATTGCGCCTAAGCTGGATCCCTTCAGTTTCCCAAATTGTTGATAACCTCTTTCAGTTGAATTCTGAACCAGCATGTTCACAAGGTAAAAAGGGCAGAGGCACATACAAGCAATTTCCTCGGCATGGCAGATGATGTGTAATGCCTCATCTAGACTGCAATTTTCAGGGGCCTGCATAATGTGTTTCATGGTATCGAACTTCAAATAGTATTTTGTCATCAACCTCCCGGGATCTGCTGACCAAAAAAAATGTAAGTCAGGAAGTTTTATTTCATTCGTTAGTAGAAAATATTTGATGTCGTTACTCCCTAAAAGTTACCTAGTGGCTTCAAGAGGAAGCCATCTTCATCCATCCAGATCATCTGATGTCGAGATAATTCATTTACTTTCTCTATGCAAATGTCTGATTGTAAAATATAATTGATTATAATTTTCAAGAAGAGCATATGGAGGGTTAAGTGCAAAAAATTTTAACAATTCGACAAAATTATACCATAGAGAAGGTGATAGTACCTTCCATGTGCTTCTCTGTATTGTGATTAAAAATTCCATTTCTGATAGCATATTTCTCTGGATTCTAGCTTGAAATAAATTTGTAACAAATAAAAAATGGGTTAAGATAATCACAAAATTATCTGGACTATAAACTCAAAAGGATGGCAAAACAAACATACCTTTTTCATTCTTACGTATAAATAGGAACACTTAATCCATTCAATTGCCTTTATTATATCTGGGATTGTCATTTGAACTATCTCCGCAGTTAAATGCTCCGTCACGCATGAAAGCAGTCTAAAGTTGGAAGAGGATATGTAAAAACAAAACATTTTAAAGTGCTCCATATGACAAGCGTACTGAATCAAAGACATACTGCGATTCTACAATTTCACATCCATTCAGGAGATTCTCATACAAATGGACCTGAGACCAAATAAAAAAGGTATTATTGAAAGATATTTTGTGTAGAAATAAGAAAATCGATGTTTAAACCAATTAACGCTGTAAACTTCATAAGTGAATAAAGAAAATGAGAAAAATGAAGCTAGCATCGTGGCATTACCGTATCCCTTC